TACTGAACTGAACTCAGGCGCAGAAACCCAGAGCAGAGACAGTAGATGGTTTAACAATATTTTATTAGGCTTAAGCGCTAGAAACGTAGCAAGGACAAAAACAATAAGACGTAGAGTCTGACGTGGCGTGGCTTGGGAAACGTGGCTAGGACGAGGGAACGGGGCCTGAGATGCAGAATGGAGCTGAGCAGGGAACAGTCACACTGAAGAGAGAAGACAGTGGAGTTAGGGAGGTAGTGGAGGTAGCTCTGAAGTGGTAAGTAGTAAGAATAGCAATTCTTACTTGCAGTAGGGACACAGAGTGTTGAGAGGCGAGTGACGAGATTCCAGGGGAGTTGAGTGGCGTGGCAAGGCTGACCTGAGATCCAGGTTCTTCAGATGGAGTGATAACTAAAAAATAGCTCCATAACTGTTTTATTAATAATAAAATATGATGGAAGATGTACCATTTTTACCATTTTTATTTATTAAATCTATTTAGATTTTGGAAAAGCATTCAGTTATCTACAATGTAAATGTAATTTAAATGCAGTTTTCAGACACAAACGGCACCAGTCACGGCTGGCAGCCGACGGCAGCAGTCATGTGGTGTTTGTTTGAAAGGACACAAAATGCAGGCACTTGCTGTGATGAGAGGGAGCTTTATTGTAAAAAGTGAAAATAACAAAGGCAAGGAGAGAACTAAACATAAACCTAAACTGGGAAAACTAGTAACAAACAAAACCCAAAACCATAACTCACAGAACAACACGCAGGAAAAAACATAAGGAGGCTACATAGGGGATGAGGAGCGGAGAATGAAGAGCAGAGAGACACGGATATTCACCAATCTACACTGATGGAGCGACAACAAGCAAATGCAAACAGACACTATATATACACAGACAGGAGGGTGAGGGAACGAGGCACAGGTTCAATTCAATTTAATTCAATTTTCGGATCCAGAGGCTGAGTTGGAGGTCTCAGTTTGCTCTGGATTCCCAAAGGTGTGTGTTTCAGCTCCCACTATGGTCTCATATGAACTTGTGCAGCACGGCTCTGGGCCAGCTGGAGGCTCAGACAAACCCAGCCAGCAGTTTTCATTGTCAGCTATGGGTTTACAATGAAATTTGGGTCTTCCTTCATTTGCTCCTCGCTCCAAGCTGACTGTGACAAGTCTAGATTTAGCTAGAAAGGAGCAGAATATCACCAAGAACAATCATGGAGAGTCTCTGCATGGTAAAATTTGCATGCACACTTGTGGTTTGTATGTTGAAACTTATTTTGCTTCACTTCCTTCTGTGCAAAATAACTTCTATGGTGAAACTAATTAACACGCAACCTCAACATGAACAACTTCAGAAAACATTTTAAAACCTGTGAACAACAGAACAATCATTCATGTCTATGAATGTGTTTTGAAATTTGAAGTAATCTGTAATTTAAACTTAAATATAAATTGTAATTTTATCTGTGTTAAACGGGCTTCAAAATACATATTAACCTCCTACCTTTTATTAATTTCAATTTTATTTAGTTATTTCATTTATTTTAGTTGTAAATATTACAGTGTCAGTGAAACTGCATGATTAGCTAAACAAGATAATTACATATTTGGTTTGGAAGTATTAGTATGTCTAAACTGAAAGACAACTTCTCTCTTTTCTCTCTCTTTAGCTTCATTCTAATCACTTCCTGTCTTTCTAAGTTCACACATTCTTATCTGAAACTGATCACTAATGACAGCTGCTTTCAGTAGTCAGTACTGAAATACCGTGAAAGTAGTCACATTCTAACAGATCTAAATTTACATATTTTAATTTGAAGCTGATAACTAACAGGAAACATGGACAGTGTGCCTTTTTGCATCTCAGTAAAATAGAGCAGTTTATCTGTGGGTTGCCAGAACGTGAAAGCTTCTATAAAAGTCTGTCATACTGTCATGCTCATAATCATCAGTAATGTAGTCCTATTTTAAATAATTAATTATTGACCGTGTTAATTCAGGTTCCCCTTTGTGGAAAAAATAATGATGATGGAGAAAAACAGCTATTATTAAGAATGCACCAAGACAATACATTAATAATGAGTAATAGTGTTACTTTTCAGAACTTGCATTGATATAAATAAAAAGTATTGGCAAAAACAAAAATTCAAACCACTAATTAGCCTAAATACCATAAATACCAAATCCCTGAACTTAAAATGAACATTTTTAAATGTTTTAAAAGTGTTTTTTTTTTCTTCACGGATGTGTGTATCTTTGTATCAGCACCAAAATATGGACTTAAGATGGAATATACGTGGGGCTGCTGTTGAATTGAATTAAACTACATGACATTGTGGTAGAAACTGAGTGATGGGCAGGATAGTGTTAGTTTGTTACAGACTAAAAATAGTCCAGTGACAGTGTGAGTAATAATTTAAAGAAATCTGAAAAGTAATGAACATGCTAGTTGTACTTCCTTTTTCACATTTCCACACACAGAGTGAGAACAGTCTTTCTGATCGTTCTTTAAGTATGTTGGTTTTGCTTCCGTTTCTAATGTGAGGAGCTTTTTAAAAGAAGCTGATCAGTAGCAGGAGCCATTTTTAACTGTTAACTGCTGGACATATGTGCATGCATTTAATAAAGAAACACACTGAACAGTGAGGAGACATGGAAGCTGTGCTGGGATTGATGCTGATTCTCCTGGGAGTGTCTCATGGTGAGCTGTTCTTTTTACATGTGGCACTCATTATTTAATACTTTTTTATCCTGTACAAAATATTTGACATCATCCACAGAGATGTTAAAGCAGCACAAATACTTACACAAAATTACAATATCTGTACTTTGATTTATTTTATTAAATTAATGTAAGAATCTATTGGCTACATCTGCAGTACATGACCATTTGAGTAGAGCTTTAGTTCCTTTTTTTGTCTTTTTACCAGCTTTAGTAGCAGTGGTAAATTCTTAGCCCACTATGCACCTTGGCAGCCTTGTTGTAGTGTGTTTAAGTGAGTTCTGGCTTTTTAAAGGACTTTATTCTTTCCATCCTTATCAGAGACATCAAACTTATTCGTTACTTTGATGGACTGCCTGATTTTGAATAATGTGTTTCAGCTTATTGATTGGCTGTTTCTAGGAATCCATATCTTAAGTTATTTATGTCATGCCATGACTACTGATATGCTGAAGAATGTATCGGTTTCATTACTTCTGAAGGTGGCCTTCATTTATAAGGCCACCTTCAGAAATGGACATCTCCGTCCTGTTTGTTTCTTTCCTCTGAAATATGGGTTCCTGTTTTCTTTTTGACAAACACCCATTTCTTTTCTTTTTTCACATGAAAATACTTTAGTTTTTGCATTCGTCTAAAATGTGGAGAATGTGTCTACCTTTATTTCTTATTTACTAATATATTAGTAAAGGTTGGACACATTCGTTTGTGATAACTTTGGGATTATAGATGCAGAATTTTGTTCTTGATCCTCTATTACCTACAAATTGCAAAACTGCTATCTACTCTGAGTTAAATATTAAGAGCTGACAGATTTATGGCAGTAGTGCTACTATAAATAATTTGATACCATTCAATTAAAACACTGGGTTATCCAAAACATAATTTGATATTAGGTATAAACATGGTAATACAAAAACTACTTTTTAACAAGTAAAAGTCCTCACATCAGTAAATTTTGGTTTGCTGACAATGTTAATCTAATTTTTATTGTCATTTATTTGGTAGAAACTAACAAATCACAAATGTTTTTCTTTTTTAATGTTTTAAAATTTGCAGGTGTGGAAACTCACTGTGATGGCAGACAGGATGGAGCTCAGTGTTATGGAGCTTTGGGAGGAAGTGTGGACATCCAGCTGATGGACAGCACCTCTGAAATATCTAGATACCGATTATTAACGAATTCATTAGTAATACTATTTGTCAGAAATAATAAGGTTATTTCTAATACCATAGTACATAGATCTAGCTTTTTTCCCAGAAATGGAAAATTTAGGATCAATAACCTGAGCAGGAACGACAGTGGTGATTATACCCTTCAAACCTTTGATTCTGATGGAAGATCATCAGGTGTGCGGACTTTACAGCTGTTCATTCAAGGTAAACGTTGGGAAATACAGCCTTTAATTGATGTAAATGCAATTGGGTCACATCTCTTAATCTTGGAATTCAGCTGGTTTCAGTTCCATTGACACAGATGTATGAAACCAAACAGCTAGCCATGCACTCTGCCTCTACAAACATTTGTGAATTAATGAATAATTCTAATGAGCTCACTGAGGTTGTGTATGTTACTGTAACAGGATACTACCTTTGCAGCAAGTTATTTTGAGATATTTGTTCTCTCCAAGATATTCCATAACCAACTGTAAGTGAAATTTTTGCAAAGTGGAAGATTTCAGTAGCTACAGAAACTCAGCGCCAAGTGGCAGACCATGTGAGAGATTAGAGGCATCAAGTGCCGAGGCACATAGTGCATGAAAGTGCATCTTATTATGGTATCAAAAGTCATCTTTGTGTTTTTCTCTTAGCTCCTGTGACCTCTGTCTTGATGGTTTCTGAGTGTCTATCCCAGGGAGAGAGGAGGGTGTCCTGCTCCTATGAGGGAGGGGACAGTCCTCAGTACAGCTGGACTCTGGATGGACGCACACTGACAGATGCTGAGCTCCTTTCTGTAAATAATGAGGATGACATCATCACTCTGAAACAGCACGTCTCAGGACATCTGGTCTGCTCAGTCAGGAACAACGTCAGTAATGTCTCCAAAGAAGAGAAGATATCTACCTGCGGTGAGTGAGATTATTATAAACAAAAGGTAATATTCGGTTTGTATTGATTATGACCACTTTGTACAAATGTCATAACTCATCTAATTGTTTGCTGCATTTTTTCCCCATTGTTTGCACCTGGGACATTAATGTGAATGGCTCTTTTTTTCCACTGTATTTCCAAATACATTTGTAAAACCAGCAAACAAAACAAACAAAAAACATGTTTACTGAGTTTTTTTTGTTTTGTTTTCGTATGTCTTTCATTTTAGGAGAAGCAGCTTTGCCCCTGATCGGTGCTGTTCTCTCAGCACTGGTATTTTTCTTATTTGTGGGTGTAGCTGTCATCTGTGCTCAGAGGAAAAAACAGAACAAACTCTCTGCAAAACAAAAAGGTACAAAACTTCCTTTAACTTACTTCAGTCTGACAAAAAATATTTTCCTTTATTTAATATTACCAAGAAAGTTGTGATTCTTTTTGATCTTTTTGATACCCGCTGTCTTTAACTGGGTTTAAATGGTTGGCAATGGCCAGATGCAAGGATAGCAATGGTTCCACCCTTGTGCAATAAAGCGCATGTTTGTTGTATCACAAGACGGCTGATCAGTTTGTTTCACTAACTCATCTAAACCAGGTATTTTGTTGAGGGTATAGCAGCCGTGGCAATTGTTTTGAAACAAGAAATGTAATTTGCACATTTCGACTTCATTCTCAAAGTGATCAGTAATATATATGTGTGTCTAATTTATTTAACTCTTGTTAAGAAATCAAGTTTAATGAAACGTCAAACTATTGTTTTGATGACTCACTGACTTTATTTGCTCAATTTATTTTCTCTGCAGAGGCAGAGAAAGATGATGACCAGGAAGTCACGTATGCTGATGTCAGGGTTATGCTGCAGCAGCAGGGGAAGCAAGTAGAGCAAAGGGTGGAGGCAAAGCCAGAGGTGGAGTACGGCCAAGTCAAGTTTTCAAAGCGACTTCGACACACTGAACCAACAGGAGTTGATTGTATCTATTCCACAAGCACAAAAGGTCCGTGTCAATATAGCTAAAGGTGATTTCCTATCAGAGAAATACAAACTATTAAATCTGATGAATATTTTGAGAAAATGCATCAAGTCTTAAGTTTCCTCTATGTTTAAATACTACCAGTGTCAGTGTTTTCTGCATTTTTATTCTGTTGAAGCTCTGAACAAATGTTATATGGTTGCAATGGAGCAGTTTCTCTTTTCAATTTAACTTTGTTCATCATTTGTTTCACTTCCATGTTTTATTATCATTATTAATGTATACATCTTTATAATTATTAAACATTAAATACTTTTAGTTGACTTGTTGGGTCATTACTTAAAAAGAAATGTTACTGGGCGTGGAACAATTAGTATCAATAAACTAAGCAGGTCAGACAGTGATGACTATTTGTTTCAAGCCTATCAAGCCCAAGCCTTTATATTTATAGCAAAGCAGACAGTAGATGTGAAATAAAAAATCCAATAGTTTATTTATTCTTGAAGTAAATCAAATGATGAGACAAAGGAAAACAGATTTAAAAAAACAAACAAAAGAAAGCCAACAAAAACAAAACAAACAAAGAAATTAGTAATATCATTGATGGTATGAAATATTAATTCATTAATGTCACAAATTTTTAAAAGGCCAAAGTCCAAAACCTCCAATGCCAAAACCAGCAGCTCAACTTAACTTTAACAAAAAGGAGGTAGGGAGAGGCCACTTGGGGACACATAACCAGTTTTTGCCTCCATTTTTAGAGCTGGGGAAGAAAAAGTACGCAAAATAAAGTCAGGTATTTTACAGCCTTGTATTATTCAGACAGTTTCACTGCATGCCTCTTAGAGGTGTTAAGTTCCATCTCTGTTCTGTGATGCAGGAGTTGTTTTGTCTAACAGATGAGTTTTTGTCTGTTCCAGCTGTTATTTGTGTATTACTGTCTTAGTCTGTTTTTGTGTGTCCATGAAAATGTATGTAAGTCGGGTACATCCTTCTATATTTTATGAGGATTCTTCTTCTGTTAATGTATCACTCATAATGCTCAGTGAGCCTCATTAAGAGTAAGAGTTTGCTTCTATCAGTGCAGAATCTGCAGTTTTTAATTTTACTACATTCAAAATGACTGTCTGACATTACTGAAACTTTCCACTCACTGATTATTATTAGCAGCACTAAATGTGTGCAACAAGCTGTGAAAATGATGCATTATAGCTGGTGTGGTTCTGTCACAGGAAATTTGCGCTCGTTTCATGGGTGTCTAACCAGCTGGGGTGCAGTATGGTGAGGTTTAGCAAAGTACAACAAAGAAGGCATAAACTTAATTCACTGAGCACTTTTTTACTTAACAGGATGGTTCAAAAAAAGAATAAAAAGAATAAAAAAAA